GGGCTGCCCTTGAAAACGGCTCGGAAATTCCAACTGGTCCAACGAGCAGCAGCCAGGATGTTAACTGGCGCTCCCTACAGAGAGAGGTCAACCCTCCTGTTCAAGGAGCTCCACTGGCTGCCGTTTATCTTCCGAGCCCAATTTAATGTTTTAATTTGTATGGTGCTGATATTTTAATCGTGTAATGAAGTGGCATTGTGTTGTTATTGTATATTCTTTGTATGTTAACACATGTTGTGAACCGGTCCGAATCCCTCTTTGAAGGTGAGAGGGTCGGTATATAAAACCTCGAAATAAAATAAATAATAAAATAAATATTAGGAATGCAAATAGCTGCCGAATGTATTAGCAGCCATATCTTCAGGCCCTGCTCATGATCCCGCCGGCGTCGCAAGCACGTTTGGTGGGGACACGAGACAGGGCCTTTTCCGTGGTGGCCCCCCGTCTCTGGAACACTCTCCCCAAAGATCTTAGACAGGCCCCTACATTGGCAGTCTTCAGAAAGAACTTGAAGACCTGGCTGTTCCGATGTGCCTTTCCCAATTAGGAAATCTCCAATACCAAGTCCCAGAAGCACTTTATTAGAATTTAAGGCTGCCGCACACTGCATACTGCACTTGCCCTATAATATCACCTGTCACATCAGCACTTTTTAATCCTGTACCCTCTACTCTGACCTGGCCCAGTTTTATCTTGTTGATGTATTGTTTATTGCTTGTAGTTTTGTTGTTTTAATACTGCTTTAATTGTTTTTAATTTGCTTTAAGTGTATTGTTATGTTGTGTATTGAGGCCTTGGCCTTTGTAAGCCGCATCGAGTTCTTCGGGAGATGCTAGCGGGGTACAAATAAAGTATAATAATAATAATAATAATAATAATAATAATAATAATAATAATAATAATGTGATACAGCTTAATGGTGTAACATTAGAAAATGTTGATCATTTCTGCTACCTCAGCAGCCACCTCTCCAACAAAGTCAACATCGACGCCGAAATACAACACCACGTGAGCTCTGCGAGTGCAGCATTTTTCCGAATGAAGCAGAGAGTGTTTGAGGACCGGGACATCCGTAGGGATACCAAGGTGCTTGTTTATAGAGCTATTGTCCTCCCAACCTTGCTATATGCCAGACGTCACATGCAACTCCTGGAACGATTCCATCAGCACTGCCTGCGGAAAATCCTGCAAATCTCTTGGGAAGACAAGCAGACAAACGTCAGCGTGCTGGAAGAAGCAAAGACCACCAGCACTGAAGCGATGGTCCTCCATCATCAACTCCTCTGGACTGGCCACGTTGTCCGGATGCCCGACCGGAAAACAGAATGTTGGTAGACAGGAAAAGAGATTTAAAGATGGGCTCAAAGCCAACCTTAAAAACTCTGGCATAGACACTGAGAACTGGGAAGCCCTGGCCCTTGAGCGCTCCAGCTGGAGGTCAGCTGTGACCAGCAGTGCTGCAGAATTTGAAGAGGCACGAATGGCGGGCGAAAGGGAGAAGCGTGCCAAGAGGAAGGCGCGTCAAGCCAACCCCGACCGAGACCGCCTTCCACCTGGAAACCAATGCCCTCACTGCTTTTTGTGGTTTTTTAAGTCCTTTCTGCTATTTTTGGGTTTCTTTTATGAGTGATGTTCACTCGTTGGTCTGTTAGGGGTATAGTGTCCACATTTCGGGTCAATTCATCCAATGGTTTTTGAGTTCTGTTAATCCCACAAATGAACATTACATTTTTGTTTATATAGACTAGCCGTCCCCTGCCACGCGTTGCTGTGGCCCACATGGGGTTCTGTGTGGGAGGTTTGGCCCAATTCTATCATTGGTGGGGTTCAGAATGCTCTGTGATTGTAGGTGAACTATAAATCCCAGCAACTACAACTCCCAAATGACAAAATCAATTTTTTGAGTGAATGATATAGGTGTCTTGTGTCCAAATTTGATGTCAATTTGTCCAGTAGTTTTTGAGTTCTGTTAATCCCACAAACGAACATTACATTTTTATTTATATAGAATAGCCGTTCCCTGCCACGTGTTGCTGTGGCCCAGTCTGGTGATCTGGAAAATAAAGTAATGAGAAAGTGCTGGCTTCTAATATCTGTAATGTCTTTATGCTTGTGAGTAAACAGTATTTCTTGCTGTTTCTTTGTCAGTGTTGATGTGGAGGTTGTCTGGTTTGCCTAATCTGGAACATGTGACATATAATTGTCCTTCTTTTGGGGTCCCTTTCAAATCTATGATACTATATCTCTCTGTGTGTGAATCATCTATCTATCTATCTATCTATCTATCTATCTATCTATCTATATCTATGGCTGGATGGCTCTTTGACAGGAGGGCTTTGATTACGTTTTCTTGCCCTTGTAAAGCGAGTTGGACTGGGTGGCCTTAAGTATTTTCTGTTGGTCATGGGGGTCCTGTGTGGGAAGTTTACCCCAATTCTGTCATTCATGGGTTTCAGAATGCTCTATGATTGTAGGTGAACTATAAATCCCAGTAACTACAACTCCAAATGTCAAGGTCTATTTCCCCCAAACTCGATCTGTATTCATATTTGGACATATGGAATATTTGTTCCAAGCTTGGTCCAGATCCATCATTGTTTGCGTCCACAGTACTCTCTGGATGTAGTGAACTACAACTCCCAAACTCAAGGACAATGCTCAGCAAACCCTTCTTGTGTTTTCTGTTGGTCATGGGAGTCCTATCTGCCAAGATTGGTTCAGTTCCATCATTGGTGGAGTTCAAAATGCTCTTTGATTGTAGGTGAACTATAAATCCCAGCAACTACAACTGCCAATTGACAAAGTCAATTTTTTTGAGTGAAGGACATATAGGTGTCTTGTGTCCAAATTTGGTGTCAATTTGTCCTGTGGTTTTTGAGTTCTGTTAATCCCACAAACAAACAAACATTACATTTTTATTTATATAGACTAGCTGTCCCCTGCCACATGTTGCTGTGGCCCAGTCTGGTGAGCTGGAAAATAAAGTAATGGTTTCTAATCTATGTAATTTCTTTATGCTTGAGGGTAAACAGTACTTCTTGTTGTCTCTTTGTCAGTGTCGATGTGGAGAGTGTCTGGTTTGCCTACTCTGGAATATGCAATATATCATTGTCCTTCTTTAAGGGTCCCTTTTAAATCTATATTATATCTGTGTGTGTGTGAATCATATCTATCTATCTATATCTATGGCTGGATGGCTCTTTGTCAGGAGGGCTCTGTTTACGTTTTCTTGCCCTGGTGAAGGGAGTTGGACTGGATGGCCTTAAGTGTTTTCTGTTGGTCATGGGGGTTCTGTGTGGGAAATTTGCCCCAATTCTGTTGTTTGTGGGATTCAGAATGCTCTTTGATTGTAGGTGAACTATAAATCCCAGTAACTACAACTCCAAAATGTCACGGTCTATTTCCCCCAAACTCCTTTTGTGTTCATATTTGGGCATATGGAATATTCGTGCCAAGTTGGTCCAGATCCATCATTGTTTGAGTCCACAGTGCTCTCTGGATGTAGGTGAACTACAACTCCCAAACTCAAGGTCAATGCCCACCAAACCCTTCTAGTCTTTTCTGTTGGTCATGGGAGTCCTGTGTGTCACCTTTGGTTCAATTCCATCATTGGTGGAGTTCAGAATGCTCTTTGATTGTAGGTGAACTATAAATCCCAGAACTACAACTCCCAAATGACAAAATCATATTTTTTTTGAGTGAAGGACATACATTGGGTTGTTAGGTGTCTTGTGTCCAAATTTGGTGTCAATTCGTCCAGTGGTTTTTGAGTTCTGTTAATCCCACAAACGAACATTACATTTTTATTTATATAGGTTATTATTACAAGGACCAAGTAGCAACAGTAAGAACTGACCACGGAACAACAGTCTGGTTCAAGATTGGGAAAGGCGTACGGCAAGGCTGCATACTCTCACCCAACCTTTTTAACTTGTATGCAGAACACATCATGCGATGTGCGGGGCTTGAGGAATGCAAAGCTGGGGTGAAAATTGCTGGAAGAAACATTGACAACCTCAGATATGCAGATGACACCACTCTGATGGCCGAAAGCGAGGAGGAGCTGAGGAGCCTTCTAATCAAGGTGAAAGAAGAAAGCGCAAAAGCCGGGTTGCAGCTAAACATCAAAAAAACCAAGATTATGGCAACAAGAATGATTGACAACTGGGAAATAGAGGGAGAAAATGTGGAGGCCGAGACAGACTTTGTATTTCTAGGTGCAAAGATTACTGCAGATGCAGACTGTGGCCAGGAAATCAGAAGACGCTTACTTTTTGGGAGGAGAGCAATGTCCATCTCGATAAAATAGTGAAGAGTAGAGACATCACACTGGCAACAAAGATCCGCCTAGTCAAAGCCATGGTATTCCCTGTAGGACCTACGGATGTGAGAGCTGGACCTTAGGGAAGGCTGAGCGAAGGAAGATCGATGCTTTTGAGCTGTGGTGTTGGAGGAAAATGCTGAGAGTGCCTTGGACTGCGAGAAGATCCAACCAGTCCATCCTCCAGGAAATAAAGCCCGACTGCTCATTGGAGGGAAGGATACTAGAGACAAAGTTGAAGTACTTTGGCCACATCATGAGGAGACAGCAAAGCCTGGAGAAGACAATCATGCTGGGAAGGTGGAAGGTAAAAGGAAGAGGGGCCGACCAAGGGCAAGATGGATGGATGGCATCCTTGAAGTGACTGGACTGACCTTGAAGGAGCTGGGGGTGGTGACGGCCGACAGGGAGCTCTGGCGTGGGCTGGTCCATGAGGTCACGAAGAGCCGGAGACGACTGAACGAATGAACAACAACAAGGTTATTATTATTATTAAATCCATCCTGCATATCCGATATTTACATGACGGTTCATAACAGAAGCAAAAGTCCAGTTATGAAGTAGCAACGAAAATAATTTTATTGGGGGGGGGGGGTCAGCACAACACGAGGGACTGTATTAAGGCCTCACACCATTAGGAAGGTTGGGAAATACTCTTCTGGATCCTATGGCAGTGAGGAAGGGCTTCGGGCATCCGCCTTTCGGGCGCCAGCGCCCAGTGCCCGCAGCTGTAGCCCAGAGAGTTTCCTTTGGCCGGCGAGATAGGACCCCGCCTCCGACTTCTGGACCGAGGAGGAGGAGGAGGAGCAAGCCCTTGGGGAGCCCCTCCGTCTGCCTCCCCCTCCCTCCCTTCCTGCCTTCCTTCCATCCAGCCCAGCCATGCTCCCGGAGCCGGTTCCCGGGCTGTTTGTGCTGCTGCTGCTGAGCCTGGGAGCCTCTCCATCCGCCGGACAGGAGGGTAAGCCAAGAAGCGGCTCCGGGGTGGAGAGGGGCTTGTCGGGAGGGTTTGCCACTGGCCTGCCTTAGACCTGGAGTGAGCCACATTCTCTCAGGGCCCATCCATACAACTATACCATCCACATTGAACTGGGGGATTTTGACCAATGGGATTTTGGCCTTTTATTTATCGTGTCAGGCAACCGAACAGTTGTATTACATTTTTGACAGAACAGACAAACAAACATACAAAAGACACAGAGTTTGCAAGCTTGGTAGTTGATTAAATGTCCTTTGACCAGTATCTGGCCACTTGGAGTTGTCACAAGAAGGCCCTCCATTGTGCATGTCCACACTCGCATGTTCTGGATTCCGCTTTGTAGCCCCATTTCTGAAGGTTGGCTCTGCATCTCGTGGTAGTCTCTTCAGTGCCTTCCAAGTTGCCCAGTCTTCTGTGTGTCCAGGGGGGAGTCTCTCATTGAGGCTCTGGGTTTGAGCCTACCACTTTTGGACTCTCGCTTGCTGAGGTGTTCCAGCAAGTGTCTCTGTAGATCTTAGAAAACTATTTCTTGATTTAAGTTGTTGGCGTGCTGGCTGATGCCCAAACAAGGGATGAGCTGGAGATGTCACTGCGTTGGTCCTTTCACTATTGGTTGCTACTTCCCGGCGGATGTCAGGTGGTGCGATATTGGCTAGACAGTGTAATTTCTCCAGTGGTGTAGGGCGCAGACACCCCGTGATAATGCGGCATGTCTCATTAAGAGCCACATCCACTGTTTTAGTGTGGTGAGATGTGTTCCACACTGGGCATGCATACTCAGCAGCAGAGTAGCATAGCGCAAGGGCAGATGTCTTCACTGTGTCTGGTTGTGATCCCCAGGTTGTGCCAGTATGCTTTCATATGATATTGTTTCTAGCACCCACTTTTTGCTTGATATTCAGACCGCATCCTTGTGTACGAACCCACACAATCTCTTCATTCATCTGGAGAGGCTCTGCTCACGATCCCACTTGTATCACAAGCGCGATTGGTGGGGACGAGGGATAGGGCTTTCTCGGTTGTGGCCCCTTGACTCTGGAACTCTCTCCCTAAGGACATCAGGCAGGCCCCATCGCTAGCAATCTTTAGGAGGAGCTTGAAAACGTGGTTGTTCCAGTGTGCCTTTCCAGAATAAGGAAACTCCCAGCATTATGTCCCAATGCACTTTATCAGAGATCTAGGATATCTGCATGCCCATCCCCCTCCAAACACCCCACCTTGTCATGCCCAGCACTTTTAATTTTAATTATTACATTTGGCCCGGTCATTGTTTTTAATTGCGTCATTGGGTGTTGTTAATTGTTATTGCTCTGGTTGGTTTTTTTTTTAAGTTATTGTGTTGTTGTTGTTGCTGCTGTTTTTATTGTTGTATTTGGACTCGGCCTCTTGTAAGCCGCACCGAGTCATTCGGGAGATGGTAGCGGGGTACAAATAAAGGTTATTATTATTATTATTATTATTATTATTATTATTATTATTATTAGTGCTTCTTGTAGGTCAGGGCACGGTCCAGAGTGACTCCCAGGTATTTGGGTGTGCTGCAATGCTCCAGAGGGATTCCTTCCCAGGTGATCCTCAGAGCTCGGGATGCTTGTCTGTTCTTGAGATGAAAAGCAAATGTCTGTGTTTTAGATTGGTTAGGGATCAGCTGGTTTTCCCTGTAATAGGCAATAAGAGCACGTAGAGCTTTGGAGAGCTTCTGTTCAACCATCTCAAAGCTCCCTGCTTGAGCAGTAATGGCACGATCATCAGCATAGATTTTGGCCTGCATCAATAGGAGCATAGTGTCTAGATCCAGGGAAGTCATGCTACCCCTCTATTCTGCCTTGGTTAGACCACACCTGGAATATTGTGTCCAATTCTGGGCACCACAATTGAAGGGATATATTGACAAGCTGGAAAATGTACTAGAAATAATGAATATGGATGAACTAACCTACTGGATAACACCAATTCAAGGAATCCCAAAGAAACCTACAAACTGGGACTCGGTAAAAAAGTACTTTAAACAATGGAAAATAGCTATCTAGATAAATAAAAATGTAATGTTCGTTTGTGGAATTAACAGAACTCAAAAACCACTGGACAAATTGACACCAAATTTGGACACAAGACACCTAACAACCCAATGTATGTCCTTTACTAAAAAAATATGATTTTGTCATTTGGGAGTTGTAGTTGCTGGGATTTATAGTTCACCTAAAATCAAAGAGCATTCTGAACCCCACCAACGATGGAATTGAACAAAACTTGGCACACAGTTCTCTCATGACCAACAGAATATACTGGAAGGGTTTGGTGGGCAGTGTTCTTTGGTTTTGGAGTTGTAGTTCACCTACACCCAGAGATCACCGTGGACAATGATGGATCTGGACCAAACTCTACACGAATACTCAATATGCCCAAATGTGAACACTGGTGGAGTTTGGGGAAAATAGACCTTGACATTTGGGAGTTGTTGTTGCTGGGATTTATAGTTCACCTACAATCAAAGAGCATTCCGAACCCCACCAATGAGAGAATTAGGCCAAACCTCCCACACAGAACCCCCATGACCACCAGAGTGGGCCACAGCAACGCGTGGCAGGGGATGGCTAGTCATTTACTAAAGAGAGTAAATCACAGCCAAGAAAATACAAACAAAGGAAGAAACAGCGTAGAAATAACTTCAGAAAGGTCTTTAAAGACCCTCAAAGACTAGATGGAAGTTATTTTTCTTTTATTTTTTGTTTTTGTTTTTTGTTTTTTTTGGGTTTTTTTTCTTTTCTTTTCTCCCCCCCCCCCCTCTTTTTTTTTTTTTTTTGGAGGGGATCTGCACACCCTGGTGACAGGTTTTCTTAAATCATATCATTATTATTATTATTATTATTATTATTATTATTATATTTTTATTCCATGTTCTGTTATATTTTGCTCTACTCTATTTCCTACTTTTCTATCTTCTCCACAATATTCCTCCACGATCTATGTAACTATATACTCTATCAATTAAAACCAATTTAAAAAAAAAGAAAGTGTCCAGAGGAGAGCGACTAAAATGATCTGAAGAACTAAAAGGGTCTGGAGACTAAAAGGGTCTGGAAAACAAGCCCTATGAGGAGCGGCTTAAAGAGCTGGGCATGTTTAGCCTGAAGAAGAGAAGGCTGAGAGGAGACCTGATAGCCATGTAGAAATATGTGAGAGGAAGTCACAGGGAGGTGGGAACAAGCCTATTTTCTGCTTCCCTGGAGACTAGGACGCAATGGAACAATGGCTTCAAACTACAAGAAAGGAGATTCCATCTGAACATGAGGAAGAACTTCCTGACTGTGAGAGCCGTTCAGCAGTGGAACTCTCTGCCCCGGAGTGTGGTGGAGACTTCTTCTTTGGAAGCTTTTAAACAGAGTCAGCAAAAAAAAAAAAAAAAAAAGCCAATGGGATTTTGGCCTGCATCAATAGGAGCATAGTGTCTAGGATCAGGGGTCCTCAAACTAAGGCCCAGGTGCCGGATACGGCCCTCCAAGGTCATTTACCCGGCCCTCGCTCAGGGTCAATCTAAGTCTGAAACGACTTGAAAGCACTCAACAACAATCCTATCTCATTAACCAAAAGTAGGCCCACACTTCCCATTGAAATACTGGTAGGTTACTCACCTGTAACCATGTTTCTTCGAGTGGGCCTCTGTGAATCCACACTTATGGAGAGAATCTGCGCCTGCGCAGGTCCCAACGGAAAAACTTCCCAAGTTGAAACTTTTAAGTTTTGGCGGTAACGCCGCCCAGCAGGGCATAAAAGGCGCCCCCCCCCCCCCCCCCCCCGCATAGCGAGGAATAGGGGGAGGTTTGCAAGAGGGGACGGCCGGGCGGGTTAGTGTGGATTCACAGAGGCCCACTCGAAGAAACATGATTACAGGTAAGTAACCTACCATTTTTCTTCGTGGCCTCTATAAATGCACACTTATGGAGAGCTAGCAAGCTTAGGTCCCGGATGGTGGGAAGCAAACCGACACCAATTGAAGGACCAAACTATGTTTTATTAAAACACATCAAAGTCTTGCATAAGCACATATACAATCATATATATAGTGCATTAAACTTTATTGCCAAGTTGGGATGACTAGTGGCTACAGATTTTTCAGTGTAGACAAACGGAATGTGAATACGAGAATGATCAATAAGCCATGTATGTGGCAAAAAAGGCAATGAAAAACGATGTGAATATCAGGTACCTGTAAGCACAGTATTGTACATTACAGGCATATCAAATTCAAGTATGTTACATAAGAACACAATAACAATCCTCCTGGGTGAGCAGGAGGGCAAAAACAGTGTCATCAAGCACAATCTTTGTAGCACCGCAGTCGTTGGTGCATTTCGAGAAGAGAAAAAAAACCCCAGGAAACCCGAGTGACCATGTCATGGAGGACAAGTTGACAGGATTGCCCGGCCGAAGGCAGTCTCCCTACGAGACCGGGTGTCCAGACGATAGTGGGAAATGAAAGTCATTGGGTTAGACCAAATGGCCGCTTTACAAATCGAGTCCAACGGGATCCCCCGTAGGAACGTTGTTGTGGCTGCCATGGCTCTGGTCGACCTCGGTTGGGCCGATGACGGAGGGGGCTTATGCGCCAGTTCGTAACAGAGTTCAATCGTCGAGGCAATCCACCGAGAGAGCCGCTGCGAGGAGAGTGGCAACCCCAATTTATCTGTTGCATAGGCAACGAAGAGTCTAGGGGTCTTTCGTAGGGCAGCAGTTCTTTGCCTGTAAAAAAGCAACGCTCTACGAACGTTGAGGGAATGAAGTCTCTTCTCTGTTGGAGAAGATGGGCTTTGGAAAAAAGCTGGCAGGACTATGTCCTCATTGACATGGAAAGAAAAGTGATGTCAGTTCTCAACACCACCCAGTCAGCGTGAAAAAGCAAGTAGGGCTCGTCAATCCTTAATGCTACCAGGAAGGCAACCTTCCACGAGAGTAGGCGAAGATCCATCGTGGCCAAAGGCTCG